CTATTTCTTTTTAACTATTATTATTTAGGTAAGTTATGATGTGAGTTAGATTTGTGATAGACACGTGAGTTTTATTGATTTAAAGTATAATGGTTGGAGATATTTTCAAATTACATTTTTTTAGATAAACTTTAAAGATTTTTAAAATTTAAAATTGGATATTGAGATGCAAAAGAAAGATTTTAACTGAATAAATAAAAATCAAATTTATTAATTTTATCTGATTATATATCTAGTTTTTTGTTTTTTGTTTTTTTTTTGTTTTTTGGTTATGTTATAATATAATATATAAGATATAGATAGACAAGTTTTAATATTTTTTTTGGAAATCGATGAGAGAGATTAGGATGGAGAGATTATGAAATATTTTTGTTATTAAGTAAATAAATCAGTCAATTGTTTTTTTAATCTATTTTTATAAATAAAAAAAGCAATAATTTTAGAAAATTGATTAATTTGTCCCATTAAGTGATTTAAAATTTTGATAGATATACCTCAAAAAATAGATAATTATATTACTAAATTATAATTAATTTTAGATATTATATCTTTTTGAGATTCGTAGTTAAATTATTATCTTCTTTATTTTTGTATGTAACCATGGTGTATGGGAGTAATTGAAAAGGGTGCTTCAGTAATTATGAGAGAAGTAAAAAAGTTTTGTGAATTGAAAAAAATAATAAATGCTTAGTTTTTTTTTTAAGTCAAAAAATTAGAAAATTAGGATATTGGAGCCCCCACAAAACTTGTAGATTAGAAATCCCTTTTTCCTTATATAATACTAGCCTATTACCCGTGCTATGCACGGGATAATTATAAATATTTATATTTTTTTAATATATAAATTATGTTTTTTAAGATTTTTTATAAAAATAATTTAATAATCCTATCACTAACCGTAGTGTATAGAAAAAATTGAAAAGTGTACTACAGTAACTATATACGGATTGTATCTATAATTATTTGTATGATGGGATTTTAAATGCTGATCAGGGGATTGTATCAATAAATATAGGTATGTGGAAAGATATGTGGATTGAGAAAAATAAATAAATGCTAATTAAGGGATCTTGACCAAATCAATAAATACTGAGTTTTTTTTTTTAATAAAAAATTTAAAAAATTCAAATTGGGATATTGAAGCTCCCACAAGCCTTGGGGGTTAAAAACTTTTTAATATATAAATTTTGTTTTTTAAGATTTTTTATAAAAATAATTTAACAATCTTATCATTAATCATAGTGTATAAGAGAAGTTGAAAAGGGTACTGCAGTAACTATACACGGGTTGTATCTATAATTATCTATATGAGGGGATTTTAAATGCTGATTAGAGAATTTTGAACAAATCAATAAATGCAAGCATGTGGAAAGACACGTGGATTGAAAAAAGATAATAAATGCTGATCAGGGGATATATATGTGAATTGTGATTTTTAAATGTTTTCTTTTTTTCTTTTCTTTTTTATATTATATTAAATTTTAATATTTTGATAATAATCATGTGTTGGACTTTTCAATGAATTAAATGTCTTCTTTTTTTATATTATATTAAAATTTAATATTTTGATAATAATTATATGTGTTGTACTTTTCAAGGAATTTTTTATGCTTGCTTTTAATGCATTAAAGTGTTATTATGAGGGATAATAATCATATTTGTTGGGACTTTTCAAAGAATTCATATATGTTGGACTTTTTAATGAATTTTTTTTATACTTATTCTTAATACATTAAAGTGTTATTATAAGGGTAAGACGTGGGGGTTGTGAGAAATTAATAAATGTTATGGTTTTTTTTTCTTTTAAATAAAAAAATCAAGAAATTTAGATTGAGATATTGAAACCCCCCACAAAACTTGTGAGTTAGAGATAGATATAAATAAATAGATAGATATAGATATAGATATTTATATTTGTTTTAAATTTTTTTTAATATACAAATTATTTGTTTTGGAAAAGGTACTGCAGTAATTATGAGAGAAGTCAAAAAGTCTTGTGAGTTGAGAGAAGTTAATAAATGCTGAGGTTAATTTTTTTTTAAGAAAAACAAAAAATTAGAAAATTAGGATTAGCATATTGGAGCTCCCACAAGCCTTGGGAGTTAGAAACCTCCTTTTGCTTAATATATAGTATAGACTAGCATATCACCTGTGCTATGCACGGATTGTGTTTACAATTATCTATATATGTGATTGCAATTTTTAAATGTCTTTTTTTTTTTTTGAATGCCTTCTTTTTTTATCTTTTATATTGTATTAAAGTTTAATATTTTGATAATAATCATATGTGTTGGACTTTTCAAGAAATTAAATGTCTTTTTATTATTATTATATTATATTAAAGTTTAATATTTTGATAATAATCATGAAATTTTTTTTTATACTTGTTCTTAATGCATTAAAGTGTTATTATGAGGGATAATAATTATATGTGTTGAGACTTTTCAAGGAATTCATATGTGTTGGGTTTCAAAAAATTTTTTTATGCTTGTTCTTAATGCATTAAAGTGTTATTATGAGGGTAAGACTTGGGAGTTAGGAGAAGTTAATAAATGCTAAAGTTTTTTTTTTTTAAATCAAAAAATCAAAAAATTTAGATTGCAAGATTGAAATTCCCACAAGGTTTGGGGTTAAAAACTCCATTTTACTTAATATATAGTATAGACTAGCATATTACCCGTGCTATACACGGATTGTGTTTACAATTATCTATATATGTGAATTGCGATTTTTAAATGTCTTCTCTTTCTTTTTTTTTTAAATGCCCTCTTTTTTCTTTTTTCATATTATATTAAAGTTTAATATTTTAATAAAAATCATATGTGTTAGACTTTTTAAGGAATTAAATGTTTTTTTTATTATATTATATTAAAGTTTAATATTTTGATAATAATCATATGTGTTGGACTTTTCAAGAAATATTTTGAGAAAAGTGAGGAATCATGAAATTTTTTTTCATGAAAATGATTATGAAAGATTTTATGATCATTGGATTATCTTCATTAGTATGGGGTGCTTTATTCTAAGTGTAATTCAAGGGTCACAAAGATTTCATGATTATTTTCATGAAAGATTCTTTATGATACCTAGCATTGCTGAATTTTTTTTTATACTTGTTTTTAATGCATTAAAGTGTTATTATGAGGCATAATAATCATATGTGTTGGGACTTTTCAAGGAATTCATATGTGTTGGATTTCAAGGAGTTTTTAAGTTTT